GTAGCCCAAGTGGGGAGAGACTAGCATATAATTTGAGGAATTTGATTATGTTGAGTTATTTAAAAATTTCGTTTAATGTTTTCTCATTTTTGAGAGACAGACAGACAGAGAGCAAGCAGGAGAGGGGCAGAGAGAGAGGGAGACACAGAATCTGAAGCAGGCTCCAGACTCTGAGCTGTCAGCACAGAGCCTGACATGGGGCTCAAACTCACAAACCCCAAGATCATGACCTGAGCTGAAGTCAACACTTAATCAACTGAGCCAGGTGCTACTTAGTTGAGTTATTTTAGAAGGAGATTGCTTACATGAGCAGTGACTCCCCTACATGATGGAAAAGATTAAACTCCTCTTGTACTAGCACAGAGATCCTCATAGAAACATTCCCTTTTTTATTACACTAATTTCATTTATTTAGAAAGTTCTTACTAGTTAAGCTCTCTACTTGCATTACCATACTGATCCTCATAATTACTCTAGGAAATAGGTACCCTCATCCATAAAAGATGAGAAAATGCTATTTTTGAGAAATCAAATAACTTTCCCATTGTCATCCAATTTGAGCTTAAGCCCAGGTCTGTGGCTTCACAATTCATACTCTTGGGCGCCTGGGTGGCTCAGTCGGTTAAGCTTCTGACTTCGGCTCAGATCATGATCTCACGGTTCATGGGTTCGAGCCCTGCATCGGGCTCTGTGCTGACAGCTCAGAGTCTGGAGCCTGCTTCAGATTCTGTGTCTCCCTCTCTCTCTGACCCTCTGCTGCTCATGCTGTCTCTCTCAGAAATAAATAAAACATTTTAAAAAAAAAGAAGATACAATTCGTACTCAAATCTTTCTCCTGCATTCTTGATTAGTTTCACCTCAGTCCCATGAGTGGCTTCAAAAGAGACATGATAGCACATGTGCAGGTATGCTTGTTTCTCACAAGTCATGTTGACTGAGTTAAAATTCAGGAAACACACCCAGTTGGTTTTATTGGGCAAAGATGTTGGTGGCTTTTCTGAACTCATAAAATGGAAGGGATGTGAAAGACTAGTATAGAAATCATCACACTCTGCATTCATTAGATGTTCCTGATAGGTATCACCCAACCTATGCCTGAACACTTTCCCGTGTGGGAGCTCACCCTTCATGGGGATGGTGATACACTTTTTAAAATGTTTCCATCAATAAAGCCAAACTCTCCCCCTCTATCCTAGATCTGGCAAAATAACAATGTCTATCTCTGGTTTCTTGTATATGGAAACCCTTAAAAATACTGGTCTTCGTCTCTTTTCCCTGGCTAAAAATTCCCATAGAAAACACTTACCTTCCTGCTTGCCCACTATGTTTACTGCCAAATTTCTCAATGTCTTCAGTATTTAATGGATATTCTCTGAGCACTATAGTGATTGCCATTTCTAATTTGGACCTTATTGCAGCTTATAGATTACTTTTTTAGCAAGCAGAAGACATGGTGGCATCTATGAATTTTGGGTATCACCAAAATGCAGGAGTTATTCACTAGAAATTTCAATAATCAAGGGCACCTGAGTGGCTCAGTTGGTTAAGTGTCTGACTCTTGGTTTCAGCTCAGGTCATGATCTAGAGGTTAGGGAGTTTGAGCCTCACATCAGGCTCTATGCTGACAGGGCAAGGCCTGCTTGGAATTCACTCTCTGCCTCCCTCTGCCCCTCCCCCACTTGCTTTCTCTTTCTCCCTCAAAATAAATAAGTAAACTTAAAAATTTTTTTTAAAAATTTCAGAAAAGAAAATTCAACAAACCAAGTCTCTCTCACACTGAACATACATACATACATTTACTAAAACCAAACTCATAACTTTACATTCATCCATTTTGAAGTGCTTTCTTTTGGGTTTGGTCCACTCATCCAGTCTCAGAAATCATTTGAAACCAGCTTCTGTGCTCTAACCAATGAGCCATCTACAGGGAATAAGTGGGCTACACAATTACATACATATCTTTTTAGGAGTAGTCAAATAGATAATGTAAGAAAAATTTGGAGCCCACCCATATGAATCTCCCAGAGGACATAGCACAGTCTTCTAAAATGGACTTGGAAGAGTCCTTCCCTCCTGGAGGGATGTCTTAGAAGAATTGGAACTCTTACAGGAAGCTCTCCCAGCATAGAGCTGAAAGGGAAATGCTGACATTTCCAACAGAGACAATGCTTAGGAGGGAGCATCTGTGAAGAAAGCAAAACTCCTCCCTGTGTGAATAATTCCCAGGTGTGTCTCTGGTCCCAGCTTCTAGACCTCCACCCTTGATTACTCAGACTCAATATAGCCTTCCAAGACCAGCCCTAATGAGAAGCTTCCATCTGGGACCACTTCCCTGACCTTATAACCGAATTTCCACTGTCATTCCAGATAAGATATCCACTATCTCTGAACCCAGGTTGTTGTTTAAAATGTCCAATGAAACAACAAAGGGATATGAAGGCATTCTACAAGAGACTTCCCAGTGGGTCAGTGTTGATCATATAGGGCATACTATTATAAAACAGAAAGAGTAATTTGTTTTATTTTGTATTTCTATATATACAACTCTTTAGAGAGAACAGCCTGGTTTGGTGAGGATGGGGGAGTAGGAAAAAGCTAGTGTGTTTATTAGAACTTGTTTGTAAGCTGAAATTGGCTGTGATCTCAATTGGGAGGGGAATGTACCAGAATCTAGGTAGGTTGGGGAAGTCTTCTGAAAATTATACACCTCTTCCAAACCTCTTATGGGTATCTGCCACCCAAGTCCACCTTCACTGAGACAAATGTGACATATTTTATCAGTCTTATTTGTTACAAAAAAAAGAATCAAATAACCCATTGGAATAAAGAGAAAAACCCATAATCCATAATTCCCTTGCTCCATTACTGTGGTCTACCAGTGGACTTTGGTGTAAAGAATGGGCTCCTATGCTCGGAGACATAATCATGCTAGATTCTTGTTGCAATTACCAAGCCTTGTGTATGCATGTCCATGGAGGGTTACACTGGGAAGGGAAGTTAGGATTCCAATATGACAGACCTACCCCACACAACAACCCTGCTAGTGTCACCTTTCCTTTTCAATAGGAGGATGAAATCTCTCTCCTTGGGCCTCTCCCCGTTAAAGCCGGGGCTATGTTTCCACAGAACTAAGGTCTAGACACAGAGCAACTATTTCAACCACATAATATTTTTGTCTGACTTTATAACAACTCTTCTAAGCCTAGACTGCCAAGAGCCATGACACAGTCACTTTGAGGGGCAAAAAGTGAATTAAAACTGTGTGTGTGTTGGCATACGCATGCGTGCAGGTGATTTAACTTACAAAATATCTCAGAGCAATGGTAGATCCTGGGCTTTGCATTACTAGAATCCCTGGTGTAGAATTAGTTCCAGATTTCATGTTACTGATAAGTATGTCACACAGACATACAAAAAAGCCAAACAAAAATGGAATCATGATAATTCTTTGGTTTAATGATGCAAATTACAGGAGATATTGACATTTCTATGTTAATATAAATAATTTCTACAAAAATACTGAAAACATCTCAGCAATTGACATTACACATTCTTAGTCTCAAAAGATGATTAAATCCTCAATATAATTAGGTGTTGAAAGTGATCTGAAAAGTTATAAACAAGTTACATGCAATTCTGTAACCTTATTGGATTAATTTTTTGAGTATTTGATAATATTCCAAACATATAGGAAAACATGAAAATAATGCAACACATACTTATGTGTACGTTTGAATCAAATTCTACTAATATAATATAGCCTGCAACATTCAATTCAGTATGTTTGCCCAATTCCATTTCCAGTATCAATTCTATCATCATTACACTAATTAGAATGTTTTCAAACTGAAAGGGAGAGACCTAAGAAGATTTGAGTTGTAATTTGTACTTCAGGTTTGGATACCACTTTCAGACAAGGGTCCACAGGGTGGGTGAGCATCGGAGGCATGCCACTGTGTGGAAATTCTCGGCAACGGACCCACCACATCTGAAAACATGCAAGTCAACCATTCCTCAGCCCTTCAACAGGCTTCGATCTTCTCCGGTTCCCAGCGATCTGGATAAATGCCCCAACTTTCATTTTACTAGGCCAATAAAGGTCTTATAAATTACTTCATGCCAAATATTTTTTTAACAAAAGAGAAAATAATTATATAGCCATGACCCAAGCTCTAATAAAAAACCAAAAAGTCTAACTTTTGGTTGCTTTAATTAAAATGGGATATGGATGGAGCCCCTGGGTGGCTCAGTCAGTTAAGCGTCCGATTTCGGCTCAGGTCATGATCTCGTGGTTCGAGGGTTCGAGCCCCATGTAGGGCTCTGTGCTGACAGCTTAGATAGAGCCTGGAGCCTGCTTCGAATTCTGGGTCTCCCTCTCCGCTGTCCCTCCCCCACTAGTTCTCTCTCTCTAAAAAAATAATAAACATTAAAATTTTTTTTAAAAAATAGGATGTGGATAGAAGATCTTTATAGAAAACCATCTTTGTTCTCCTTTAAAAATGACAATCTATACAATGCCTTAAGTGTGTCCTCATAATTCTCTGCATGAATTTCATTTGTTTAAAATTATGGAAGATTTATTTTGAAGCCGGTAACTGGATTTCTTTTTTTTTTTTGTTTTTTAAATAAGGCAACAATCTCAAATGAGGAAGAATGAAATAATGTGCCAGAGTAAGTGAGTCTCTACAAATAAAGTTACCTGATCAGTTCTCATAGACTGTGGCAACACAGGGGGCAAATACGCAGACGGGAAACTCCCGAAAAAATCAGTTCCAAGCCACAAAGACATTGCATTTTATTCCTCACATCTATTAAATGGAAAGTCCTAGAGAAAAAGTGCCTATAACACAGCGGTCCCTTGTTAAGCAGCGCTAAACACTGGTGAGAAAGCCCAGTATCATTAACTCTATCTTGAAAAAAAAAAAAAGAAGAAAAGAAAGAACTAAAAAACTAAAAAGATTAAAAAAAAAAAAAAAAACAAAAACAAAGCCAAACCTTACCAGAAAGGAGCAAGCTGACTCCATAGAGAACTAAGCCGGCTAAAGAGTCCATGCTTCCCCAAATCTCTCCATCCAGTTTCCGCAGATGTGCATGAGGCCCCAAGGATCCTTTCAGACACCAAGAGGTTTGTGACTTTCCATTCGCATGTTCTACTGGGTCCTGTTTACAAGTCAGAGGCAAGAAGGAACAGCACAGAAGCAGGCTGTAACAGTCTCATTTCTGTCTGAGCGCAGGGAGTTTTAAGTTCCTTTTTCCTGTTTCCTTTGTAGATTAGGATGGGAAAGGCTGTATCTTAAAGGCATTTGGTATCAGCAGGGCTGGGGGCACTCAAAGCCCTATCCATCTTGCAATTCATCAAAACACTTCTCTATTGCTGTTGCTTCTGCTGCTGCTTTTGCTGCTGTTGTGGGGATAGAGGAATTTTTGTTGGAAGTGTGGGTCCTGGTCAGCGTTTTCAGAAACAATAGGGGTATCCTCTCTTAGGCGGGAAATAGAATAACAGCCCTCCACCTACGTGTGGTATGCAGTGATGACCAGCCCTTCTCAGCCTCCAACAGCTCTCCCGGGTCCACCTGGGATCCCTGACAGAAGGGGATTTTGGGTATGGGGAGGAATTTTTGTTTTTGTTTTCTCATTTTAACCCACGTGGATTGAATTGGGAAAGGAAGGTTTCCGTGATGAGAGAACACAACCCGAAAGGCAATTAATTTGGATAATTACCGGTGAGGTCAATGTGCAATGCAGCCACGGAGACCAGAGTCCAGAACTGTTAGCCTGTTTTCTTTCACACACATGGTTTGTTTCTTGGCCAAGAGCCCAAACGTATCTATGCTACTGGCTATAGCTTTAATTTTTGCTAACAATTCATCTGAAGGTGATCTCATTTCTTAAAGAACTTGGCCTAGAAGGATTTTAGTAATGAAAGGGATTTCATGGTTCTTGGCCAACAGTGTTCCAGAAGCAAATTATATACAAAACCTTAAAAATAACCTGTGTCAAAACCAAATGTAAATGATTTGATTTGGGATAAAAATAGCATTCCTAAGAGCACAGAGAGTACACAGGCCAAAAGAAAAAACAGCTTTTGGAATAACCATATCTAAAATGAGATCAGGAATCTTAAATTTATCCAGAATATAGCTTCTTCATAACACAAACTATAATTTCAGAATAGGGTGTCATTATTCCCGTCCACCCTACCTTCATGTCCGAGTCTGAGGAAAGAGCCGTCTGCGCCTGCTTTCACTGCTCATCACAGGAAAACGCACATGCCGCTGATCTTGCCTCATTTCTGTCCCAGGTTTTACCACATCAGTGATGACTTGAGAACCAATGGATATTTCCAGCAGGGGTGAAAAGTGCAGGCTTTATTTATTTTTTTTAAGTTTACTTGTTTATCTTGAGAGATTGAGAGCAGGGGAGAGGCAGAGAGAGAGGAAGAGAGAGAACCCCAAGCAGGCTCCATCCTCACCCTCAGCACAGAGCCCAACGCGTAGGTCAAACCCACAAACCATGAGATCATGACCTGCACTGAAATCAAGAGCCGATGCCTAACTGACTGAGCCACTCAGGCACCCTGAGCAGGCTATTTGCAAGCAGACCTGGGTTCAGCTACTTACTCAGCCACATGTTTACTTCATCTCTCTGATTCTCAGTTTCAACAGCTGTTACAACAGCACTATTATCTCCAATGTGGGGTTTTTAGAGAGGATTAAATGAGGCTGGCACAGTGCCTTATTCATCGAAGGTTTTCGTTAAATGTTAATATATTCATTTCCTTGAGTCTTTCCCTTCAATCTCTGATTTCGGTCCCAAGCGATTTCTCTAGAAAGCCATTCTCTCATCTTATGAGACGGCTTTATGTCTGATTTTGTAACAAACCAGACTAGGAATTAGGGATTCTGGGCTCCAGTCCCTGCTCTGTTGTTCCTGTGAGGCCTTGGACGAGTCATTTCCCATCAGTAGGCCTCAGTTTCCTCAACTGTAAAATGAAGGGTTTATACTGGATGTGACTAATTTCCCTCCAATTGTAACAGCTTGTAAGTCTAAATGACTAAGCTGTCCCTTACAGCATCTCTTCCTAGGTTTCTAGGTCCTTTCCTCTGGGCTGTTCAGAAAAGATGCTAGCTTTGTGTCTCTGTCACTGCCAAATCTGGGAAGGTCACAAATGCACTCTATTTTAAGAACATGGTGGCTGAGACTTTGTGAGGTCCACCAGCCCCAGGCCATATGGAGTGGCAATGGAAAGCCTTGGAAATAAACAAATTCCAGGGCACCTGTCTCCTCAGCCACAGCTTCCTCTGTTTGTGCTTGATGGCCACACAAGGAAGTCATTGCTCATATTCCCTCCCGTTGGCTACTTCGTGTGGGCCAAGGATGCTTCTACCTTGCTTCCTTTTCTGGGCTGCCTCTCTCTGTTATTCAGAAAAGCACCTCATTTTCTTTCATCCCCGCTTCTCCAGAAAGATCTACTTGTACTGTGAACTGTTAAGTTCTCACTCCTTCCTTTCTTCAGAATGGGTGACTTGGTTTCATTCTGTACTCTGTAACCCAATAATGTTGCTCATTTTAGAAAAGGCAGTGTTACTCCATTATCCACAAGAGCTATGTAGTTTAATCTCATCTTCCATGTAATCCTTTCTAATGCTGTGCAGAGTATGGAGTCTATTTAATAAACAACTGCTAAATTTCCTGAGCCTATGATTATATAGCTAGGCAAAAGGCTGAGCAACTTTTCTCTGGGATATCTGAATCATTAGCATGTAAATTCCAGGTGTAAAGTGAAGATTACTGTGGACAAACATGGCCAAATATTCTCTGCTCCAACTTTCTGCCCTGTGGATGTTAGAACATGAAGAACCAATCAAGAAACAATAATATGAGATTCTCCATGCACTGCGGGGCCAATAGGTCAGCAGAGCTGACTGGCAACACGTTGGGAAGTTGCAAAACTGGATGGCATGCCAGAATTTCCAAGGGAAGGGAGAGGCCACTTCCACGTCTGGACAGGACTCTCCCCAGTACATAACGTATTAAGGAAATACCACATACTTGGACATGCCACAACCCTTCTCTAGAAAGCTGGCTATGGCCAACGTAAGGGCAACTCCATTCCCTGAAGAGACTTGGTGGGGGCCAGCTGGATCAGCTCTCCACCCTTAGCAGCTCCATCCACCTGACAGGTTGAAATCATCTTCCCATCTTTGCCTGATGAACTCCAAGCTATCCCTTTAGACTCAGAAAAGTCTTCTCTGACTGTTCAATCCAAATTATGTTTCCCCCAGTATGGAGGTTCCTCAAAAAATTAACAATAGAACACCCCTATGACCCAGCAGTAGCACTGCTAGGAATTTACCCAAGGGATACAGAAATGCTGAGGCATAGGAGCACATGTACCCCAATGTTCATAGCAGCACTCTCAACAATAGCCAAAACATGGAAAGAGCCTAAGTGTCCATCAACTGATGAATAGATCAAGAAGATGTGGTATCTTTATACAATGGAATACTCATGGCAATGAGAAAGAGTGAAATCTGGCCATGTGTAGCAATATGGATGGAACTAGAGGGTGTTATGCTGAGCGAAATAAGTCAGGCAGAGAAGGACAGATACCATATGTTTGCACGTATAAGTGGATTAGGAGGAACTTAACGGAGGACCATGGGGGAGGAGAAGGGGAAAAATAGTGGGGGAGAGGGAGGGAGGCAAACCATGAGAGACTCTTGAATGCTGAGAACAAACTGAGGGCTGATGGGAGTGGGGAAGAGGGGAAAGGGGGTGATAGGCATGGAAGACGGCACTTGTTGGGATGAGCACTGGGTGTTATATGGAAACCAACTTGACAATAAACTATTTGAGAAAAAAATTAGGTTTCCCCCATTCTCTTACAGCATCGTGCCCTTTTGTTCATGGTACTAATCACAGGTGGTAATCATACTTTTGTGTCCTTGTCCTTTTAATGTCTCTTTCCCCCCAGCTGACTATAATCTTCATAAGTTAGAAACGACATCTAACTTATTCATCACTGAATTCTCAGACCTGACCATGGTGTTTGGCATGTAGTGGGTCTTAAATAAATACTTCATGAGGTAATAAATGAAAATACTTTCATTATTACTCCTATGCTCACACATAGAAAAGGCTTTGGAATCAGGCAAACCTAGATTCCATGTTACAGCTGTAATTGACTCTCTGTATGACCTGTGCAATTCACATCCCTGAACCTCAGATTCCTCACCTTTCAATGAGGGGAGGGGCGTTTGGTGGCTCACTCCAACTTTGGCTCAGGCCATGATCTCATGGTTCATGGATTCAAGCCTCACATAGGCCTCTGTGCTGACATCTCAGAGCCTGGAGCCTGCTTTGGATTCTGTGTCTCCCTTTCTCTCTGCCCCTCCCCTGCTCACACTCTGTCTCTCTCTCAAAAATTAAATAAACATTAAAAAAAATTTTAATAAATAAAAAATTAAATAAAGGGAAATAATGTCTATTTAGTGAGATAACATATACACAGTAATTGGCACAAAGTAGTATTTAATAAAAGCTCTCTACAAATTCTTTCCCTATCCACAGCTACCACCATCACCCCTGAACTGTTATATAGAGCTATTTGCAATGTGGAAATGAGGTCTCACACAGTCTAAGTAATGTGCTCAGCTATGGGTAGCCAAGAGAGTATTAGAATCCTGATCCTGGCTTCCAATTTTTGCAAGTTTAATGTATGACTCTGTTTTGCATAGTTCATCTTTAGACCACAACGTGCAAAAAAGTAGATAAAAAGAAACATGGGAAATATCATAAACACCAACATGGTATACTCAGACCTTAGGAAAGTATATGAAATGAAACTTGGACAGATAATGGAAAAAGTTTGATAACATTGAGAAATGTAGTTACTTCTCATTGTGCTTCCAAAATAGTAATAACTAATATCAGGACCTGTGTGTGCTCCACAGCCTTGCTCCAGGGAAATGAAAAGAGGCTTCCTCATGAGTCAAGCTCACTCAGTTTAATTTTATTTTTCCAGACATTACTTATAGCAGAACAAAAAAGAAAGCCAAACCAGCAACGAGAAAACAAACAAGGCACCTGGCTGATTTGTTGTTTTCTGTTCTCTTGTTTTTGCACTTACTATATGAAAAGATATCTTTAGAACACATTAAACATCTTTGAAACAGATTAATAAAAATATCAATGGACCATTAAAAATGTGAAGAGGTATGGAAAGTATACAATGTTACTAATACACTGGTATCACACATCTAGAGACCAGTATCACAAATATGTAGCAAAAGCCACAGATGCATATCCTTTAGCTGAGAAAATTCACACATATTTGATATACCCCAAGCCAAAGTCATAGATGTTCCCCAAAATACATCTATAAAGGCATTATAAATTTATTCTAGTGTTTATTTTTGAGAGAAAGTGTGACCGAGTGCGAGCAGGGTAGGGGCAGAAAGAAGGGGACAGAGGATCTGATGCTGGGCTTGAACTCACAAACCATGAGATCATAACCTGAGCTGAAAATGAACACTTAACAGATTGAGCCACCCGTGTGTCCTTACAAAGGCATTATAAATATATTGCTGATAATAAACAAAACATGGAAACAATCTAAACAGCCAGGGAAAATGGATTGTTTTTATGAATCATGGTACACAATGAAATAGACAAATGTCAAAATGTAGTGGAAGCATATTGACAATGAAAGATGTAAAGACGTTTATAGGACATTGTCAATTGGTAACAAGTTTGAACAGCATGAAATGTATACACATGTGCACAACGGCACACATATACCTGCACACTACAATATATATGACAAATATATACCAAGATGTTATACTCATGAAACATATGCACACGTGCACCCATTTACTCACACACTATAATATATATGACAAATATATACCAGAATGTTATACTCATTGAACAAATGTTATTACTTCTAGGTTGTTGGAAAATTGATAATTTTTATTTTCTTCTTTATAACTTTATATAGTTTCAACATTTTAAAAGGGGCATCTGGGTGGCTCAGTCAGTTTAGTATCTGACTCTTGATCTCAGCTCAGCTCGTGATCCCTGCATCTGGCTCAGCACTAAGTGTGGAGCTTGCTTGGGATTCTCTTCCCCTCTCTCTGCCCCTTTCCTCAACGTGTGCTCTCTCTCTCTCTCTCTTTCTCTAAGATAATAGGAAAAGAAAAATATTTTTTTAAAAATACAATGAGCATATATGTACAAATGAAGAAGATTGGGGGAAATCCTTGAGACAGTTGACCCAGGGCAATAGGATGAACCTTAAAACACCCATGGGCAAATATGAAACAGAATTCAAGTGAAGCTCAGTGTCCAGGAGGTGAGCAAACAGATTTTGGTTGCTGGCTTCCTGCAAGGTAACCTTGCCATCCTGCCTTGTGTAGGGCTATGAGCACTGAACCTCCAGCACCAACACATCTAGCTTCTTAAGAACTTCCCTGAACTTTTTTGTGAACCCGCTGTACTTAACAGTGGCTAGCAGAAAAGGATGGGTCATCAACAATTAAGTCCTGGCCTTCAGCCAGGACACCACAATTAAAGTGGCAACACCCATTCTGGGAGCTGATGGCTATGGAAAATCTGGAAAATACCTGACCCTCCAAGAACCCTATTTACTCTAAATCTTTTTTTTTTCTTTTATCATCTAAGTGACAAGGACTATGCTCATTCTGTAGGAAGAGACTTA